TGCAAATATCAGTACAAATTTACAAAAAATTCCAAAATATTAAGTTTATAATCATGCAGGATGAAAATGGACGTCACACAAGCACACAGGGTCTTCGCTAAACCTATAATCGATACGTCGAGTTCCAGAAAATTCTCTTAGAGTGAGCTTAATGAATAAAAGATTGAAAAAGGCAACAAACAGTACACCAATCGTATAAGCACTTAAAGCAATCCTTACAGTACCTGTACAATAGAAATATTATTACTACATTTTCAGCTTGAAGTTTGTTTTAGTTCAAACATAGAGTGTACAACATTTTTTTATGAAGTACAAAATTACGTGGATAATCAGAATCAAATTTCATTCATAACTTTGCAGTAGTTCAGCTTGATTTCATGGTCATAAATATCTTTGCTACTACTTGTACGAAGACAGTATGTACGATCAGAATCTGTAATTTCTAGGAATAATTGCATATTAAACTTCATCAATTTGAAATTTTGATATCTGGCTAAGCTGTAATTAGTTTATTTGCTAAGATGGAACATTACTGTGAAAATAATCAACTTCTCATTGTTTCATAAAAAATATACGCAAATTTGGACGCCTTCCGATATTAAATTAATTTTAAAACACAAAAGCACTTCAATTTTACAGATTTGCTTTTTGGATTGCCTGTAATTGTGAGATGTACAGAAGAATCCATAATTCCAAGGTCTTCTACTAATCAAAAGTTTCAAAAGTATGCTTTTATTATTTCAAATAGCCGGACACATACAACTCAGTTCGTTGGGAATGGCCCATACCCATCGATCATTTAGCCGTGTCATCAAGGAGTACATTACCTAAGGAGTGACACAGAGAGAGACCAATATTATACCCGAGAGAATGGGCAAATTCCGTCCCAGTGTTGATGGAGAACACCACGAGGAAATATGGATACGAGGGTCTCCCAGCTCTCTTCTCCTAACACAAAAGCCCTCTAGAGGACGTTCGACCGGCCAGGATTTTGAGTGCCTCCCAAGTCGTATAGGCACCATACACTTACAAATATCCTAGCCTTTTTCGAAATTCGAACCCGAGCCAGACGATCAGGGCGGAGTTTAGGAAATATATACTGATATCAGTTCTTTTGAAATCTATGCATTGCTTTGATAATAAATCAATTCAGAAAAAAGTATGATGAATAGCAAGATGTAATACTTATAATACCTAAAGTAAAGAAGAAGCTGAATCGGAATGGGTCGTTCAGTGAAATATTTTTTACGTTTTGGATAAATTAGATGTCTTTATGTGCAAAAGAAGTTTAAAATACGTACATCATTAATTTTGCATTTCTTTGAATTTAAAATCTTGTATAGTGACTAAGAAAGAAAAATATCTAAAACGTATTAAAAAGAAAAGGACAGATTTAACCATAGAATTCACATTAATACCAAGAATAAGCACATCTAGAGATCCAAACTATTTAAACTTCCTCACGGTTACTATTAATGCTTATCGAAATTTTGCAAGGTGTGATTACAGCTTGATGCACATTCTATATTAGCTTACAATACATTAACATATAGACATATGAGGGCAAATATATACACATATGCACAGCATGTACTGTATGCAATAGTATAAATTGGACCTGTCTTTTAGAAATATCATAAAGCTCTTTTCATTTTCAAAAATTTTTAAAACGAGCTTCAAGATTCCATTTTGTTATAACGTTATTCGTTCCGAGTAATCCAGAAACAATCTTAACTTCAATCGTTTAACGTTTTAATAATCTGAACTTGGTAAAAGTTTGTTTTAGGAAAATATATTTTTAATTTACATGATTTACCTGAAACATCATATTTTGGACATGGAACTACATGCAGATTATTAAAATTACGGGGAAAAATATCATCACATTGCGACAGAAATAGCCTCAGTTATGTAGAAAAAATATTTTTAAATGTATTAACAGCATTATTGCATTGCACATGCTTTAAAATTTGATATCTGCTTTTAGTTCGAATAGCAAGTTATAGGTATTATATTTAACAAGCACCAAAATAACACGCTTTATAACAATTATACAACTGAATACCGTCCATTTTCTGGTTTACTTAGACTACTTTTCGAAAACAATTGCCATACAAATATAGCAAAAATACATTAGTGTTTATTCAACACGTCAAGCAAAGCTTTGTTTACACGCTATTAAAAAGGGGAAACAATTTGTTTTGTTTGAAAGTTTTCCACTAACTCGAACAGAAAACACTTATTTACAAAAAAACATTTCACTTTACAAAGAACAATCATATAAACACCAGAAATCCATTTCTTTATTGGGCACAATGAAGTTACCTCTCATAAGGCTTCAAATATATTTACGTAGATATATAAATGCATGCTGATACGAGTTAAAATAACAACAATTGTTAAACGCAGAAGAATGGCTTATAAAAGACTGCAAAAACATTTTCTGCACGTCTTAGAGAACATATGAATTAGGATGGTTTATCATATTATGTTTTAATATCTGAATATAGATCTTTTTTAATGATTTCATATGCGTATTCATAATATCCATAACGCATAAAGCGTAACCTCAGTTATTCAAACTAAGTAAGTCATCTAAGAAGCAAAATAAAATTTAAGTACTCGATATTTGTTACTGAAAATCCGCATTTACTTGCATCCTCTCAGTTAACTGAAAATAACCTCGATTTCATAGATCTCAAGTTCAAAATTAGCTTTCCTAATTACCCTGAACCTTAAAATATAAAAATGCATTAAAGATAGGAAATGCTCATTAAAACATGAATACTTCTCAGGAAATATTAAGACGCCAGATTAGTCATAACATAAACATATAGATAAATTTTAAGAATCGTGTATTAAATACTAAAAAATATCTAAAATATGTAAAATCTTGCAAAAATCTACAATATTATTTTTAATAGACAATTTCGTTTTATTTAAGTCTTTTTATATTTTCTTGTTGCTGCTAGAAATGATATCATTGATTTTCAAGTTCCCATTATCCGAAAATAAACCACCCACCCCAAAACACAAATTTAAAGAAACTGATTTTGTACGAAGTAATCTAATTTCAGAAGAAGGGAAGCTTATTAGTTTAGAATTCTCAATAAATTTGGCTACTTGTTTTTTTATTCCTGTCTTAAAAGTAATGAACCGTAGCTTAATTTCGACTCATAACTTGGCGAAGATGAATATATTAGTTAGCAAACCATACGTTTAAAATAAAAAAGTAGAGAAAAATTTATTAATTTAAATTTAACATTGCTGTTATAAATTTATTTACATTTTATTATTAGATGTCTGTAAAGTACATGGTCAATCTGCATAGCTCTTGCCGAATGGTCATCAGGTGTCAGCGCCATATTTAAATAGATTAAAGCAGCTACAATAAAAGGACATCTTGGGAGTCTGTGTACCAGTTAATTCTCGAACGTTACGAAACAAAAGATAAGAAAGAGGTTATACAGTGTTTCAGGACGATGGGCGAAAATCTATTACAGTTTCATCCACCATCATAATAAAAATGCCAAACTAAACAAAATGCCGGATGATGCGTATAATGACGATTCTGTAGAAGGCAGAATAGTTCGCTAGCGTCTCGCTACATTTTAAACTGAAATCTAAAGCTGGAAGATACAATATATAAATCTATTCTAATATTTGTTTTAAATCAAGTTTCTCTTTGGAAAGTTGTCAAGGATTTATCAGCCACTTATCTAACGGAGTTTATGCATGGCTTCTTCTGACTTCCTGGACTTCTGCTGGCATTAGCTTCATCGCCGACTTGCATGTTTCAACTTGCATGTTTGTGGCGATATGATAAAAGTCAGTGTGTATCAGAAAGACACTACGTACAGTCAGTCTAGTTGTTACTTAGAACTATCGATCTGTTTCATTTTTCGGGGCATCACCGCTTATTGGCTTCGAGCAGGTAATAGACCATGATACTAAAGCTGTGACTGTCGTATCGCTTTGGAATATTGTTAATATGAACGTGTTTACACTTCCATGCTGCATTTCCATCACATCATAGCAGCGATTGATGTTCGCAGAACAAAGTGTACTCGGAACACACTAAAAAGTTTCAGTGAACTTGCTGTTTGCTACTAACAGCCCATAATTATTTTGATGAAATTTCTGCTTTTCAAGTTACTTTACGTTTCTTTGAATGTCTGTAATTATGTGATCTTAATCACTACTTCATTAACACTTTTAATATTATTTCATTAACAATGTTGAGGAGCAGAGTTTCATTGTAATACTCTAAACCTTCGTGAGTAGTTTAAATATATTGCTAAACTTATTTCGAAACCTCAAAATGTTTTGCAGTTGATCAAAATATAACCTTTCAATTTAACTTTAAAAAATATTCGATGGTATGACGATATAATAAAACTGAATAAGTCGTTTGATCTATATGATAAAATTTTAATATGATTAAATCTGAATTTAATATAGTTTATTTAGAATTCTGAAAACTTAAGAGATTCTGGACTTTGTAATTCCTTTTTTGGGAGGGGCAGCAATCATTTTCTTCCAGTTTCTGAAGTTAAGAGGAGTTTCATGTTGTAAGGATTATGTTAATTTTATTAACGGTTAAATTTCAAGTTAAAGTTTCTTTCCTGTCAAATTCTTAACTTCAACTTACTACTTCCATCCAGAACGCAGTTTTAGAATCACGTCTGAATACATAATGAGAAAGAGCGGTATTAACCGCGAAGTTCTTTGGTCTTAGAGAGAGAGAATCAGAGTTTCTGATTTACCCGCGTCTGCCTTTTGGCCACTCTCTCTCTCTCTCAAAGTTGTTATTACGCTCGGCCGTACTCAGGCCCTTGATAAGCTTCGTAGTCAAATAGAGTTAAGGGGCCAACTCGATTTGAATCTTGATAGCTTCGGCTATATTTTTTTAAATTAATCTTAGTTTTAGTTAAATTTTTAGTCTCTTAAGTTCAAGCCCAAGTGTCGGCTTTGATTGTACACTCCAAGACGGAGTTTTTTTTAAATCTTATTGGAATAATAAAGGGTTAGTTACCCTTCCATCTTGTTGTTTCTTGTCACACGAACTTAAGCGATTATTAGCTAACTAGTTCTTAAGATTTGTCACTTTCTACAGTAACTGATATTTACACTAGTGAGAAGCTTACAATGTGTATAAATAAGATCTCTACTATGGTGGTAAAATAGCTTCTTTTAATTCCCTTCTTCTGATTTCAAAAGAAAGCTAAAATAAAAAATATTTTATGAAAATGTTTCCTTCAAATAATGTTAAACTGTGAAAATTTATGAGAATTCCTTGCAATAAAATTACTTAAAGGAGTAACCTTACCTGACGATTTTCTTTGGCTCTTAATGCGCAATATAAGTACACTTTAATCTGTCACGTTTCAGCAAAATTTACATCGTATTTACTCGAAAATAATATTATTCTTTTTTTTCTTTGTTACATTTTTATTAGAAAATGTAGTAGATTTTTTAATCGGTATTTTAGTAAATGAAATTATAGAATAAAGGGAAGGAGTTTAATTGTGATATTTTACACAGAAAATTACACTCTTTAAATGCTAAATAAAGAACACAGGTAATTATGTATATATTATAAACTGCATAGCTACGGTAATTATAATTAATAACCACGCCCAATTGAGCAATTTCAGTTTAAGCCTGCGTCCACTAAACTGGTCATTGGTATGCCTGAAAACAAACAAACAATAATGTACCGTTATTTTTCTCAGTTTTTTTCCTTCTATACCACTGCAAAATATCGTAATGCAGTATATTGTATGTGGATATCTGGTTAGGAGATGGCCTTTCGTTTCAAGCCGAAACAAATTAATTCTATTCAGGACCATGCTCTCATCAAACATTCATCTACATTTTTAGTGCTTAAGCTTTATTATAATAAGTAAGACCGTGTTATATTAGAGGGGTTGTTATTTTCGAGTAAATACGGTATGTAAATTACAGTTTACTCAAATTTTAATTGTAATTCAAAATCAGTTTCGTATTAAGATCTTTTCTCATTAGCATTTTTTATGCTTTACAACTCGCATGCAGCAGTTCTCTTAAACATAAATTAAGTACTTAAAAATAAAAAGATCTAATATCCTCTTAAATAAAATGCAATATTTACATTTTGTAACTCGCACTAAATCAAATGCGCTAAAATTAACTCAATGCTAGTGCTTAACAGCTGCCAAATGAGCATGAAAAAATATATCTAAAAATAAAAAGAAAACGATTTAAAAAATTCTTCTGTTTTGGGAATTTACTCTTAAATTGAGCAACAAATAATTCTTTTTTATTTTGCAACATTTACGTATAAAAAGACCAAACTTTGCACGCAAATGTTGCAGCAATATGGCTTATCTATAGTACGCCATTTTATGCATCTACTAGCACCATCTCATTGATGTGTTTCCATTATTTTCCACAGCGACCTTTCTTTTACTTTTTGCTTCCATCAGTTTTGTTGCTGTTTTTCCCTCCATATTTGATGCGATCCAAAAGAGATTGCTTGGATCTTCGACGAAAAGTATGGACTTCCCTGCAGAGTTCGTAAAAGGCTTCAGCAACTTGGCTCACATGCTCCGATGCAGCGACTTCAAGGAATGCTGCCTCACCATCTTTAGCCAAAATTTCCCCTGAAACATAATTTTACTTTATTAAAGATTACTTTAATGTGAACATTCTTTTTAATAATGCTCTGAAAGAATCTGTGAGAAATACATAAAGTATCGATAAACTCCCGGTGCGCCCTTATGGGGCCACAAGGAGTTGTTGCGTCTGGATTGGGGAGGGTGTGGGACATATGCCTGTTTACCTCTGTTAGACGCCAGGCGTCCTCCGTCACCTGTGTCCTGTGAGAAATACAAGAGCAGCAGAGTGTACTGGTATGCATGACCCTGCTCTAAGACGAAGTTTGAATTTAAGCTACTCTGCCTCATTACCAAAGTAGACTTACCAAAAAAAAAAAAAAAAAAACTCATAAGTACCTATGAATTGATTTTAATCACTATAGTTTTCTTAACAGAAAGTTGAAAATTTAACTGCAACCCAACCGGGATACTGGCTAGTGACCCTGATTGTCGTACCGAATGGCCCGCGTTCGAATCCTGAAGAGGAGATCGATGTGTGTAAATGTATAACGTCTGTGCGGCATGGAAGGTGATCTAAATATGCGGCGATCCGAAAGTCCTCTTGAGAGGTTGGTGGTAGGGAAAGAAGACTGGTCATCCCCGGACCCGTCCCCCCAGGGCGCGCTCCATCAAAACTGGGGGCGGAAGTCATACTGTCAGCTGTATGGTGCTCTAGGGTCTTGCCAACGACAGGGGCAATCTTTCGTTGCCTGCCACGATGAATTTCGTGGGCTTGTTCTGATGTTGTTGTCAGGCAAGTGAGATAACTCACCGCAACTATAACAACAACACTTTTGTGTTTTAATTCACTGTAATAACTTAATCTGACATATTTCCTTGTATACATAAATAAAACACATATTGTTAAGGTTTTTGTATTTATTTAGCTATTTATGGTAGAATTTGTAATTAAAATTGTTTTATGTTCCCGTGCAATCCAGCACAAGACTTATTTGAAGAGAAAGCTACGCCGAAAAAAATTTAAATACAGGAGCACGCGCATTTAACATTTTAATAAACGGATATCTCGTAATTGTACTCTTTTGCTGTCGAGAAAATACCAGAATGTTCTCCTGCAGGATTATAAAGGTTATAAAAGCCGAAGATAAACATCTCAATTCAGTTTGTTTACTTAGTGCTGTTATTGATTGTAGCGAATTCGCGGTGAGATCGGATTAGCTTTCTCTGTTTTGAATTGAGTTCTATTAAAAGTTTTAGTTGTTTAAAATATAACTACTGTGAGATATTGCAACATAGTAGTACCTTTTGTGTTTTAATTCACTGCAATAACTTAATCTGGCATATTTCTTTGTATACATAAATAAAACACACACATATATATACACATGTGCACGTATATTTCTTGTACACGTAATACAAGTGCATATCCGTCTTACGTATATACAAACATATCTAACAATATAAACAAATTACCTGAAATTAACTTAAATAGAAACATTAAAATCTTAAATCTTAGTTTAAAATCTTACTTTTTAATATCGTATAAAGTTGCATGAATTTAACTTATTACGTAATTATTTAAAGTACTATAATTTTTTTTTGGGGGGGGGTAATTAATATTACATTCAACTTTATTGACAGAGTATTACACAAGATTGAGTTAAAGGTTTACTTGAGCACTTGTAAAATTTTTATAACTAATATTTCTAATCCCCTTACGAAACCGAGGTATGGATTCCAGGCCCTTTTATATCTTACATAGAAAACAAACCTGAGCTTTCTTTGTTCAGAGAAATAAAAATTGTAGAAATTTCTTGGGAGTTTAGTTCAAAAAACATTCATTCAAAAACGCCACCGATTTCAAAACATTGAATTGGAGCGGAGGTAATAGTATATTTAGAATTTTTACTTCTATTTATATTTGAGAAACTGGATTTTCTTTGTTAACTGATTCAAAAAAACAAACATAGGAACGGACTCTACACTTAAAATGATTTACTACTGTGCCTTAGCAAGATAAATCTAACTACCTATGAGCTTTGAGTTGCAAAAAAGTTCAAACTGCATTATGTAAGAGATAACCTAAAAGTATAAAAATGAATTGTAAATGTATAGTGCCCTTGCGGCATGAGAGCACTTAAAATTCTCCCAAGACACAGGGCGGAAGAAGAGGGATAGAGAATTCTTGGATTCCTTTCTAAGAGTTGTTCTGGATAAAATGTGGACTAAACTGGCCAGCCGATTTAGTTTCCTGAAGTCTAAATCCAGAAGAAATAACACTGAATACGATGTGGTGGGCATGAGTCATCATTTAAGTGTGTGTGCCTGTAACTAAGACACTTGTGAGTCTTGTTCGTAACCAATACCTAACTGAACTAAAAGCTTATGTGACTATAACCTTAGCTTTATCAACAAATAATTATATGTTGAATGAACTTATGAATATAACCAATAATTATATGAAACTTATTATAAATTTAAGCTTTATTTTTAGATTTATTTACAATGTCAGAAATTCGAAACATAAACCCTAGAGTCCACTATTCTTAGAAGAATAATGCGACAATGCTCGAGACACCCTTATTCAATGTTCGCACGAACAATATTTTTCTGAAGAACTCTCGGCTTTAGACAGACCTACCAGTCTCCAACAATAGTAAGTTAAATCTTCTTAACCCCATCCTCCGATGAGAAAAGTTTAATATAGTTTAAGTAATTCCAACATGAGTTACAATTGAAAATATCCCATCATTCTCCCAGCAAAAAGTAAATTAACGAATCATAGAGCCTCAATCTCTCTTACATAGTGTACTTCAATAGTTTTAGCCTATTAATGGCCACAATTTAGCCCGAAAAATTATTCATAAATGCATATCTTGTTTTAAAATGAATCCAACGGTACTGTGAAAATTAATGGTTAATCTTGCATTCTAAAAATATTACCAAGCTCGTCATTTAGTAGTACGGATATTGACTTTTGCGGTCCTTTTCAAATCAAATAAAAAGAGTGCTTTGCAAAAGATTTATATTAACATTTTTATCTGTTTGGCTGCTAAAGCATTCCATTTTGGACTTCTGACGGACCTAGCTTCCAAGGCTTTTACTGCCGCCATAAAGAGATACGTTTGCCCGGCGGGGTAAAAGTTCAACGATTTTGTGGAATAATGTAAATAATTTTGTAACAGCACTTTCAGAATTACAGCGGTTGGAAAAGTTAGCTAAGCAATCAGAATATATTGTAGCTAGTTATTTAGTATCAGAAGGCATTTTTAGAAGTTCCGTCCTCCTAGAGCCCCTAATTTTGGAGGACTTTGGAAAGCAGGCGTTAAATCCTTCAATCATCATTTTAAAAGAACTGTTGATAATGTTAAGCTTACAGCAAACTGGAGGAATCTTGAATGTGCGTCCGTTAACTCCTTAGCTTCTGAAGTTATAGATTTTGGAGTATTCACTCCTGGGCATTTTCTGATTGGACGCCCATTAACCGCCAGTGCGGAAAGCCAGTGTAAACCCTGGTGCTCTTGCTATACTCAAGGAAGATAATCTGCCTCCTTCTAAATGGGTTACATGCTATATATAAGAAGTTATAACCTGGCCTGATGGAAATGCCAGAGTAGTTTCAGCTGGAACTCCTGCAGGTGCATGTAAAAGATGTCTATCAAAAGTATTTCTGTTACATATTGAATAATAACATTTATCTTTAATAGATGAGCCTTATTAATGTGGAATCGTGTTATGTAGTATCTAACCATTATCAATTTTTTAAATGTATGCTATTTTAATTTAATTATATCCCAGAATGCATTAATGTCGTAACAGATATTCTCTTTCTTAATATTATTCAATACCAGGGATGGCCAAAGTGTGGATCGCGAGCCTCATACGGCTCTCGCAGGCAATTCGTGCGGCTCATGCATATAAAATATATGTATGAAATATCTTAAATTAAAACTATTCAGTGTCCAAAAGGAAGTAATTAATTAGTTTGGACTCTTTTACAAAGTTATCAGGGATTTCTTTCTATTTAAAACCTCCTCCACTACTTCTATAATGATGTAAATATGAACTTGTGGCTTTTAAAAATTCTAGAACATTCCTGAATTCAAACGTGCGGCTCTTACTGACATGAAGTTTGGCCAACCCTGTTCTATACGTTTATTATATTATCAATGTTATACTTACGCAATTATACTGTGCTGAAATGTAAATATTTCAGCGTGGGATGGAATTATCTGTCTCATCCTATCTTGTAACTTACGTTTTTTATCCTAGGGATACATCTCGTCCTATCCTTGTAACACACATTCTAGCAACGCCCACCTCTCCAAAATGCTCAAAACGCCATGTAGACCGCGAGCAGAACGGATGTACACTTTGGTTCCTGCGCCAAACATTTTGTAATTAGCCAACAGATGTAATAAGAGCGTGCGAGTGTGAACCTTATGGCCTCTTGTGCCTATTTCTACGTATGAATAAACATTTTTGTAATTGATTACAGACCACTACTTGTTCGACAAATCTCAATCTTTAACGCCATGCATGGAAAAAAATTCATAAATATGCATTTGGTTAATTAAAATGAAAATCTAAATTATACTGTGAAGATTTAGACAATATATGTCTCCAGAAATATCTTTTATCAATCGCTATAACGCTGGAAATGTTCACAGAAATTACTTTAAAATAATTTTTAAAAAGTTTGCAATATTTTGAATTTTAAATGGGAACTTTTACAATTATTAGCAGTTTTTTTATTTCTTGGAGGTTTATTAATTAACCAAACTCCTTTTCTTGTTATTAATTAACCAAATTACTATTCTATTACTAACTTCAAATTATAATTTTGTAGTGCATAATTTATTTAGGCTCATGTCAGAACAGATTATACCTTGACGATAGATTAATTGTTTTTATTCTTATTAACATCTTTATTAGCATTTTTAATGACTAAGCAATATATTTTTAAATTTTAAAGACCTTGCCATATTATTTTAAATTACATTAATATAGTTTATTTTTTCTCTTACTGTTTGATTTATTTTGTTAATCATTCGGATATAATTCAGAAACTTGGATTTATTGAAAATATTTCCGTTGCTCCTTGAATGACCAAAGTATTTTCAACTATTTGTTATATGCTGTTTAGCTTTCGTTTCAATTTTAATTTATATTCATCCTATTAGTCATTTTACCACTTTTGCTGATTTAATTATTTCTATTATATCTTGATTATTTAATTAATTTCGTAGCATACAGCGCGATTTTAATAATCAATAATTGTAATTTTGCAAATTCCAACGTTTAGATTATATTCATAAAATTATTCACAATTGGTAAAAGATGCTTGAGTTTAAATACCGAAGATGGGACATGCATATCAGACTACAGTTTCAGGTTACAAAGATGATCCTATTAAAAAAAGGCTTTTTAGAGATGAACTTAAAATATTGAAATGATTACTCATCAAAATACAGATCTGCCCGACCTGTGCGTCCTAGAACTTGCTGATATTCTAAAAGTTGCGATTCGTACGAGCGAAAAATGAATGATAAGATCTTTCGACGGGGAATTTAAAACAAAGACCTGGTTAGATGAATTTTAAATGGATATATAACTGCTGACTCAAATGAGTTAAACTGCTGGTCTTTCAGGCCAAAAGCACATTTAAACTGCTGGTCTTTCAGGCCAAAAGCACATTTAAATCGCTGGTCTTTCAGGCCAAAAGTACATTAAATTATTTTTTGAAGAATAAAAGCATTAGAAATTAAACTGAAGTTGCAGTGGTCTGAAATTAAACTACAGTAAATTATTAGCCACGTAATTAATTTTGAAACTCTCTGCACAAAGTCAAGTAAACAAGAAAACGTATGCGGCGTTGGATGACATTTTATTATATTATTTTAGATTAAATCCAAGATTTCACGAAACGCGAATTGCAGTTCAATACATTTCTTATTCATTCTCAGTTTACACCACGCTTTTCGTCGTGAAGCACATGTATTTAACAACAAATTGTTTCCCTTATAAAGCATATAAAAATATAAAACAAAAACAAAAATTTCCACAAATATCTTAAATATAAGCTTCGAAAATGTACCATGTATATCATACTAGATGTTGATGCACTGATATTCAAAAACTTGGCTCAATGTTCATATTAAATATATTGTGCTCATATTTTTTTCTAAGTAATATTTTTCGAAATGAATGGTAAACAGAATTTTATCAGAGACAATGATAATACGGGTTGTAAGGTTTTATATGTAGTAATCCTTTATCTTATTGTTTTTATCTTTGCTGTCACTTCTGCTTTCGTCAGCTCCCACCGGGATACAAATTCATTAACATGTGTATAAGAACAGTTAGGGAAGTTAAGTGTGAACTTTTGGTAGCGAGATTTGACCTTTGCTATTTCTCGACAGTTCTTAAAATTATCCTTTATCTTCTTGCTTGCTGTGTATGCTAACATATTTAGAAGTTTGTGCCAAAGCTTATAACAGGACCTTGCCTTGTGAATTCCAAACGTTACTCACTTGCGTTTTAATCAAGCATTTCATTCGACAAGCAGTGGTGGCTAATTTCTTGTATACGAGTTGTGTGTTTGTTGAGTTAAAATAGAAAAGTTCACTTATAATAAAATCTTTATCTTAGTTACAATAATTTAACTTGAAGACTGAGAGGGAGCAATTAGCTCTTGACACACGGAAACTGATTTTAGTTTCTCTAATTCTTAGGTTTCCTTAAAAGGTTATATTGCGATAATTAATAACAAATTATTTCTGTATTCGGCCCTTGACATACTTTTCTAGGGAAGTGCGGTGCACGGTTCTCCTTTTGTTGGGCATTCAACTTTTGCCATTAGAAGCTCCAAAATGTTAAGCACCCATAATCTAAATGATCATCAGAAACGCTACAGATAGAAGCAGAAAGGAAGAATAATTTACCTTCTTCTGTACTGACTTGTCTTAGGTGTATGAGATCGGCTTTATTCGCCACAACAACTATAGGGCACGGTGATTGTCTTTGAGTCCCACCCGGAGACGCCGGCCTGGAGCTTTGAATGAGCTGCCGTACTTCTCGGAGGTAGGTGAAGCTGTCCCTGTCAATTATGGAATATACCAACATAAAACCATCTGCCCATTGTAAGGTCTCCTCTTTTGGAAAATCGGTGTCTGTCTGCAAAAAGCATTTCATAACAAACTTAGCTAAAAGTGCAAATTGATAATTAATATTAGCATGTCAGTGATGGCATTTTCATCGTAGAATTGAAAGGTCATACAAAATATGATCTTTTAATTCTGCAGTATTCTGACAAGGAGAAATTCATGATGAAAGATGCTTTAACGAATTCATAAAATCCTTTAAAATCTCTGGAGGTTTACTTTAATTTGAATAACCAGTTACTTCATGTTTGGAATCTGTACTATCACTTCACCCTTTTCTTTTTCCCGCCAGAATGAAAATGAGTTCGCATGTATTTAAAAGGAGGTTTTGAGATTGTTAAGTTAGATCGTGTTCTGCCATTCATGGCCACGTTACTAGGTTTGATACTTTAGATAAGAATTCCTGTTATCGGCAACTTTACTTCTTTAGTTCCTATCAACTATCGGCATTATAATTTGCTGATAGTTGAATTAATGTTGGTGAAGTTCTGAGCCGACTTCGCGTTAAATTCTTTGTGTAGCCTTTGGCTATTAGCTTTACATTTGACTCACTACTTTGAGTTTCTTCCCATAAATGCTGATGGATTCGTAAGCACCACGAGTGCTTTCTGTTCATCGCTTTAAATAAAGGGTCTTTTACACTCTTTTCAAGTTTCTGTGGACTCAGCGATAAGTCGCTCACGTCAACATAGAGCTAAATACTTCGTATGATAGTAAAGTGCAAAGAAAGTCAGGCTTTACGAATCCTTTAGACAAATATGGAAGAAATTCTGTAAATAAAGGGAACAAATAAATGAACTTATTGCTAGTGATGAAGACTATTTGGGAAGTCCGACAGACTGTACACTTCTCTTATGTTTTAAACAATTTCTTCTATCATGTACATTCACTTATATATCTTTAAGAGTTTTACTTTAACCAACCACAAACACTGATGTCATCATAACAGAGACAACAAATGCTAACTTAGAAAACACCGATTATGGAATTCTCTAATTATATAATAATTAAGATTGCTAAAATATATACCTGCAAAAGAAAATTTTAAACATTTTTTAAATTTAAAAAAAAACGTACTTACGCAGTAATACACTAAAAGCATCATATTTAGAAATGCATTTATTAATTATGTGACACTGATGCTTTATATATAACAGAGGTACTATAGGACGATGTTCCTGAATCCTCCAGCGTTTAATTTCTGTGCATTAAGGTAAAAGGAGTAACTTGTACATACTTAGAAAGTGGAGCGTAATCTTAATTGCATTTATTATTATTATTATTGCTACTCATTTACGTTTGCACTGTCAAAATATTTTCGTAAAGATATTCCGCATTGCTTGTTACAAAACATTACCATTTTCGTCAACTTTCCTATTTTCCGTCATCATTAAATTATACAGATGCTTCTGTTCTTTGCTATTTATTCTTATGACCTAGTTTTATATTTTTAAATTTCTACTACATGTCCAAAATGTAATCTATATATGATTCCTGTAAACCTAAAGCAGATATTTCAGAAGCTGCATGAAAATAGAACTTCGTGAAATTTTCTTCGAAAGGAGAGGTACTGCAAAGTATGCAGAGTTAACTAACGCTCTGTTCAGAATGAGAGCTCTAATTGTATCTACAAAGTTCATTTAAGTTTATGTAGTATGGGTTTATTTCTGAGCCTGAGTTTATGGCAGAACCAGGCAGGATATTGAAGATCTCTCGTGATTCAACAGCTAAACCTAACCTGTAATAAGTTCCTTGTTAAACTATTTATGTCATTTTTTTTCTATTTATCTATACATGTAATTCGAATGCAACATTCATTGTGCAAGCACAGTGAAACGCTGATAATCCAGCAGTTGGGGACTTTCGAGATGCAGGATTATCATACCAAAATTATATGACGCCGCAAAACGATTTTTTTTTTTTTTTTTCATTTTATTGAATGCATTAAGACGTAAAAAATTTGCATGTAATAGATTCCGCAAACATATTTAATGGGTAAAAGTTATTAATTCATAAACTTATTTAGAGTTTAATTATATTTAATCAATTCCTGCCTTGAAGTCATCATGATTGCCTTTAAGTCTTTTAAAATAAAGTTTGAGTGCTTCCGAGATTGCGCTCATTTTTCAAAATATGAATGTTAATTATTTCTACAATATTATATATTTTTTATTTTTTCCACAAATTTCACAAATAATTTAACGCTTCACTAGCCTTTCGCCTAGTGATCTTGATTGAGAATTCCTCTTAATCATTGTCGATTTCTGTTGCTACTTCCAGATTCAACACAGCTTGAATTATGGTGTCCTCACTTGACGTTTTAAACGAATACCTAAAAATCACATGTTTCCGTTTCATTTCTTTATCAAAATTTATATCAAGATTTGAGAAGCATTTCAAATAAAGAAAGAAAACGATACGGAAAGGCGAAGTTTTAAACAATAGACTAACTGAGCGCCGCCTGATATAACCACTGACCTGACTTTGTTGTAAAAGTCTTACAGTGTTAATAGTCATCCTAGCAGAAGGGAAAATTTCCTTCGTGTAAAAATATACATATAAATATTACATGGGCATACAAGGCCTGTGTATAAGCATAAATATGTTGATTACAATCATTGTATTGTACAGGTTACATATGATAGATACATAAAATCATGACAGCTATGTGTACATTTAAACATTATATGAATTCATATTTACAATACTTTTACTGAGATAATCAAATTAAACTTGTAATTCATTTACACATTGACTGGATTTTCAATATCATTTAAACTGCTTTACAATATTATTTTTATCAAGTACATACAAACTGGATAGTAATATGCTTACATTACAATAGTTTTGCTCTTACAGTCCTGTTATTATTCTACGGGGTGAGCTATTTTCCTAGTGTTGATATTCAGTTGTTGTAGTATTTTACAATAGACTAACTGAGAACTGCAAACGGGTGGGAAGCAACTTCTATATCTTGCAGAATATTACCGAAAAAAATAGTAATAGAGCCATTTCACGACAGGAAGGTGTTTGAAAAGAGTGCCGGACTATCGAATGGGCCAAATCTTTAGATGTCGGATTATAGGACATTTTTCTGTATATGTTTTATTTATTTCCATTGTTACGATGTAACTACAGATTTATCTATCCATAAAAGGCGAACTCTGGTACACTCTGGTACTCTGAACATAAAAGGCACACACACACACTGTTTCTAGGAAGTACGAGTAAAATATTAAGAACCTTTACTTTAAACCGTATCTTTGCGGTTTAATAGTGTTCACGTCCAGATAGCATTAGAAAATCTCGAATTTGATTATCGATGATTTTATGGTTTATTTTTTCCAGGTTCCTAATTCAAAACAATGACTCTATGAGGCATGATCTAGTTTTCTTGAAGCACTCAGTCAGCTCAATAGGCTTTAATTAACGGTTAAGGGAAAAAGAGGATTTGTTTATAAAGTCATTGTTTCTTACTGTAAGATTTCAGTTTGAAGGTTAAGGCTTTCGTGCTCTTACGTATTTGCGAATTTACGTAAGTCGCGTGTCACATAAATCGGGGGTTCTAGTAATTTCAAGAGCTGTAAGAAACATTCTGAAAAGAAACTCGTTATTTTAAATAATTGATATGGAAAACATATTGTAATGTCGATAAGCAAATATATCGTAATGCATGTTCTTTCTTTACAATGGAAAACATATTTTAATGTCGATAAGCAAATATATTGTAATACATGTTCTTTCTTGACAATGTTATATGCATTTGCCTATCTTTCTTTAACTGCGGATTCTATAGAGTTTTCTGGAAAAAAAAGAGAAAGAAAAACATTATACAAAATGGCAGTGTCCATTTTAATTTGAATAAATGAGGCTCTACTACACACGGAAATCAGTTAAAGGTTAGTTTTATGCATAGCAGAACCCAATCTACATAAAAAAAGCAAATCGGATTCATTCTATAAGGTTCTCCTTGAACAGTCTAATATGCTTTCCAGAATTCTCCTGATGGAAAACTTACACGTAAGTAAACCAGTACCAAATTGTCAGAATTCAACTCGAGACCAAAAATAAAAACAATTAGTTTCAAAGTGAACATGCATTATAATTGTTCGAGGAAAAATTTCATTTAGAATTCAGAATGTTGCATGATATTAAGATGTTAACCTAAATGATTAATCAGAATAAAAAAGTAACATCATCAGATTTCTCTATAGTGCTTACTGCTAACTCGATCTATAACAACTCTCATTTTGTTGATCCCCCTCCCCGGTAATATTTACAGAAGCCCTTCTTTAATTAGTCAGTATTACTAGATTTCTTTCCCAATCCTTCACTTATAGGTTAAAAGGATGTGAAGACCATAGGACAATTTAACAATTAAAACGTGTAACATTAAATAAACCGAAAAATATAATGACATTTAACAACTTAGTTTTTTGTAAACGGCATAGCTGCATAGACTTGTGACTTTCAGTAACGTAAGTACGTAGTACTCTGCTTTGGAAAGTACGCTACGAAGGCCTCCCTTCCCTTGGCCAATAGCACTGGCACGCTTTTGCTTAACCAAATAATCTAATATCAGTTTATTTTTCATTGCCAATATTATGAAAGAGATATTATTCAGTTGATAGATATTAGCGCTGAGTAGATGAATTAGGTTGGCATATCCCTTGTTTCAAAATCGGTGCTTCTTTCAGTCTGTTTACGGCAACAGCTAACTTCAGAACTTATTTCTTGCTTATACACCAGCCACGGTCAAAATGTGGCTTTCTGGTCTCCTAAATGCCGCTTGCACTGAAACAAATAGCAATTTTATTTATAAAATACAATTTAAAATAAAAGTCATGTAACCTCACCCGTTTTTAATAAATAGTAATTGAGTGTTTTTATTATTCATTTACTTATTTTATCAATTTAGACTAGAGAAACAGTAGGAAAAATAAATACATTGGCAACATGCTTCAGTGATAAAGTATATGAAATCTTACTGAACAAGACTACCAATACGTAGAGCTGTAATTAGTAATGGGAAGAAAAGGGAAACTTTTCTGATCCAGGTCACAGATAACGAATAAATTAAATGTTTTATAGGTAAATATAATCACTTTACATTGAACTTTCTCGTTCGTGTATGAGAAAATTGAATTCTTATTTTTTGTGCAAAAAACTGCATTAAGTTGGCAGTTTATTTTAAAAGGATTTTCATATTTTGAATAGTATTTTTTCGCAACTCCTGTTGTCACAGATAACTTACTAGTTCTCTTCCCTGCAGTGCATATTGTTACGAAATGTACAAGCGCGGTAAGATAGCTTCCCCGCAAAGCAGTTTAGGGTTGCCATAAATGGCAAGGGAAGGCATGGTTGCCACATTTGGCGAGAAATCGCTCATTTGGCGACAAAATTGGCGATATACAATGGACGGTTGGAGAACCTTCTGGAACGAATTCTTACCAGTTTAGCCCAGAATGTTGTCGAACACCAGTCAAAAGCTATATAAACCCTGCTGGTCCGCAGTCAGTGTGTGTCTCGAGTGTGCGTCTCTCATCGATTGAGTGTGTCTCGTCTGGCGAGTTGACGACTCGAGGCGGATAGCCGTGCAAGGGCTAGTACCGAGTGGCCACAGCAGAGTCTAGTTGACTATCGCGGTTAGTGCATCGTCACCGAGCTGTTGAGCTCAAAGACGCGCCGAAGAGTCAGAAGCTGTGCTCTGTGTGTCGTCGAGTGCATCGCGAGTTGTAGCGTGGAGAGTCTCGAGAATACGCGGAGTTCCGAGAACGACCAAGCAGAGTCGGGAGCTGTACTCCGGAAAGCAGAGTCTGGTGCTTTGCAGGAAGCTATTTCCACCGTGATAGCCTGATAACCTGAAGGCTGTGTCGCTGATCGTTCAGCGTGTTTATAGTAGTTCATCGACCACTGTAAAACGTGTTTTGGAGCTGTCCTGACAATATTGTCTAAATAAAGTGTGTTTCGATACTTCATCAAGTGTCGTCGTTATTCACTCCAAATCTACGAGCCCCGTACGAACGTGAAGGAAGAAAATAACGCAACAATACGGTTTAAGAGAAAAGAAGAATGTTAATTCTATTTTCTCAAATTATTGAGTTATTCATGATTAGAACGAAGTACATTCATCTTAGTACATTATTACAGACAGCAATATTATGAATAGTGTTACGTGTTCTTTCGTTTCAAGTTAAAATCCCGTAAAAATCAATATATTTAAAACTGATTAATAATTAAAATCAACATTTTTAAAATTTGGGAGAATTAGAAGAAAATGCTTCATATTATACTTGAAAAAGAAGAGATTAATATGTCATACGTATGTTTAAAATTAACATACTGTTTCCTAAATACAAAGCAACATCAACAAGAATATTTATTTATGTTACTAAATAACTACATCAATTTTCGTACCAATCACGAAAACATTATTAATATTTCGAGCATTTCTTTTTATTCACAACCTCTTTTAATAGTTTTAAAACTTTATAAAAATCTTGTTGCAGGTTTTGAATATTCGTGAATTTTATCGCACGGCTATTTCTGACACGAGGTTTGGCCATCCGTATTATACTTGTACATTATATCCGTATTATACCCATAATCATTGCTCTACCAATAAAGATAGTTTTTTAATCTTAACAAGAGCAGCAAATGGAAAGCGATTTACGTATTGATTCATTAATAATCAATCTTTGCTAAAGTTTTTGCCTTCATTGATCATGCCTATTTAATGACATTAATATGTTGTTAAGCAGATTTGATTTAAGGGAAGTCACTTCAAATGCGAAGTCGAATCGCACGTAAGAATTGTTTTATTTCAAATGCACAAAATCATTTTGAAATGATTTGTTCTCAAAGCTACGTTTTATTTTTGTATGGGATAAATAATTTCATAAAATTCAAATATCAACTTACTCGTGGGCAGGTATCAATTATTTCAAATATTACAGGTTCATTGTCCACCATTACTTCATTTTTGTACCTATTTTCTGAAAAATACATGAATATAAAATACGTAAGCATTTCAAATGAAACAAAACACTTTTAATAAAATAAAACAATATGAAACAATTAAGTGCATACAAAAAACTTTTTAAAAGAAGTAAATCTTTAAGAGTGGGTTTCTTAAGGTTCATTCAAATCATTTCTAACGAATGACTTCCCTTTTTGGTAGAGCTTGAGCAGGATGGGCACTCCTTTTTCTAAGCATTTAATAAGCAAAGTCTCATTTTCTTCTATCTCAAAAGGGAATGATTTTAACAAGTAAAACAAAAAAATGGAAGAGGCTATGAGCTAGGCGGATAACATTCTTTGCGTTTACCACAGGAACGCATCGAATGTTGAGTGTTGCAAGAGTGTTGTTGTTGTAACTTATCTCACTTGTCTGACAGTAACATATATAAATCTTAGAATACCACAATAAATCTCAGAAACGTCAAGAAGCATAGAAAATTAATTGCTAAGCATGAAAGCCAAGAAATTTCGTAGATGTTTTTAAATACAATGATGCGACGCTCAGAAAATAAAAACAGTTCTGGACCTGCACTGTATCACAAATAGTTTCTAGCAAGTTTATGTGGTCAGTTAACAAACCGCAAATGCAACATGATAGTGAGACTACCTATCTTGAAAACAAAATATTACATTCGTAGTAAAACTAATGATACTGCGTAAAATTTCCAGACACTAGTATAATTTAAAATTGATAAAAACAACAACATAAACAATATACTTTCAAAAGAGTTATGTTACTAAAATGAATGATAAACAAAAAATCAAAATGCTTGAGGATATTTTAATTAAATATATGTCATTAAAGAACTGCTGCGTATTTTGTATCTTTTCTATACTTTTTTAAAAGGCGTTTTGTGTATTAGTCATATTTATTTATTTATAGCATATCCATAATATTTATACGTCATTTACATTTTACATTTTATTAAATTTATTTCATGTTTATCCTATATTTAGTGTTTTTCTCATTCTTTTAAAATTTGGCTTAATTATTTCTAAGTTATATATGTCTAACTTCTTTAAAATGTACAATGATATTTTATATTATATAATTTGATTATTCTTCAAAATTAATATATAAAAATCTGTAAACATAAATTTGCAACATATGTAACAATTATCTGTATACTGTGCTATGAGCTTTATTGTAAACATTGCCATCTATGTAGACACCGCAAGACCTGAATAATATGTTTCGGTATGTCCTATGTATATTTGTACAACCATTGTAACTTTGTAAAATTTTATTTCAAATAAATGCCGCTGGTAGCGGATGGTAGATAGTTTCCATCAATACAGCACAAAAGCTAAAAGTCGAAATGATAGTGTAGCTGCTCTGTTGATGATATCCTGTCTCCTGTATTAGTTATATGCATTGATTAAATGTTTAACAATTTTGTAAAACTTCGGCAACTTTCGATTATGGGAAAATTATAAATCACTTTGGAGTAAAAAACAGTTGATTATCCCATTTTTTCCTTTTCAGTATTTGTAAGGTAATTGCATACGAAATAGCTTCTTGCCTTCTGCCTAGAGTTGGAAAAATGCCCGCTTTAAAAAAATAATTCTGTTTTTCTCTTTAAGTCACTACATTTTGTAACACAGATAAACATTTTTCGAAATTCCATAAATAGATCTGGATATTTCTTTAAACATTTGCCTTTGCAAATAAGAATTCCTTAGCCCAATTTATCAGTATTGATTGCAGTGCCTTCATACTAGAGATCTTAGGAGAGAGAAAATACAGAGACGGAGAACATATCACAGCTAAGCTTTCGTTCTGACAGATAAAATAAACTTCGAAAACCCCGATTTTCATATAGAATGTCTTACAATCTCCACAAGCATTCATAAACATACATACGAGATTTGCATTTTAATACGCGAGATGTTAGATGTTCAGTATTGTATCCATCTGAGATATCGCACATTCTTGAGATCTGGAATGAGCTGCATATGCTTACGTAGAGACGAAAATGGAATATTTGGTGTGATCTTTTAATTTAGGACAATCTAATGTTTTTTTAGATTCTCTGTATGATATTTAAGAATATATATATATATATATATATATAATAAAATTCCATAGTCAAGAATACACTTAAAATTCTAACTGTATGTTCTTTTCATTTTTTAATGGCGACGGTCTCTTATTTTGAAAGTACGTGGAATTAAATCCACAGCCCTGTAGTCAAGTTGTTTTTCCCGCCTTTTCTACACGTACAGTTATAGAATGTTCTGGAGATATTTAAAGCGAACTGGAATGGCTGACGAGGCTGACGTCATTTCTTGGAAACTCCGCCTTTCCAGAGGCTATAAAAGGACTCGCAAAAGGAATATCGGGGTCTTTTCTTTAATGTAACGATGCAGTAAACTTCATACAAAAAGTTATTAGTAATTCTTTTTTATTTACTCCGGAAATAGGATTTTTGTAACTGCTATTTCTCCTGACAAATAATAAATGGATCCTGTTTTTTAAACTTATCGTCTGATAATTTAAGCTACGACTACATCTATATTTCTTCACCAATCTATTTATTCCGGACAAAAGCTGGTACATAACACACACACACACACACATATATATATATATATATATAGGTTATATAAACAGTTTTGTTTTTACAGCGTTTATATAAACACTATTGATAAGAAATCAGAAGTAGGCTAAAATGTATGTGAGAACAAATTTTCTTGGTTAAACACATCCATTTTAACGCAAGAAATAAAATAACATCAAACCATTTAATTCCAAAACATACACTATTAAACCTATTGAAAATAATTCAGCAAATCAATATAAAGATTTTGAATAAGATATAGATAAATTATATAATAGATAAATTTCATCACTCGTATTTTAGACTAAAAACGTACATCGAAATTCTCGGTGAAATACAAATTCTAAAACTTAATGATGGAAGATAAATGATCATTTCGTTAGTTAATTGCGTCTTTTCCTGGAGGTGGGAGGACGCAGATGCAACATTTTTGTAAAGTACTGAAAATTTAAAATCAGTATTACACAGATAAAACAAAACTTTAGGAGATCATAGGATTTCACATAAAAATATGAGTTATACACCTCAAATCTGACGTCTTTTTGTACTGTTTTTGGTATTATATATGGCATTTTGATAATTAGCGGATAAAATTGGAATGGTTAAAAATGTTCCAATTTCCGTCCATCGAAAGTTATTTATAACTCCACCTACTTGAAATGTAGCACCTAATTTGGGACAAAACTTTCCACCTTAGTGTAGCAAATAGTTTAGAACGGACGGAATATAAAATATTGAGGCTGCTAGTCTTGAATACCAAGTATTTCTACCTGTTTTCTAAGCGCTTTCTTTTTATGGAAAAAATTCTTCATTTAAACCATTTATACAATCGAATTCATCTTATTGTTTTATAAAATTAAAACATTTTCTCATGACCGAAGTTTATGTTTCCAACTTAGGCGATAGTTGTGAACGAAAATTTGATTTGCATATTCAAAAGCATAATATGTTCTTGAAAGAATGAATTCAATAGTGGCCTCATACTTAAACTGTATGTTGGCTGAATTGCTTGATCTGAAAGCAGATGACGAACTTGAGTTATTTTTTTTAATAAAATGAGAAATTTTTAGCAAAATCAACTTTTTAACTAAATTTTGCTCATTAAATATTTATTAAAACTATAAACAATAATGATAATGATAATAATAACGGCTCAAAAGAAAGTGTTCAAATTTATATTTAATTTTTATCTGAGAACTAAAGGTTAGAACCTATAAGAAATTTTTGTTGGTTATACTTTATAATATAAAATTACTGAGAGCTAAATTTTCAAACTGACATTTGTTACAAATAATTCATATTATTTAGTAGTTAATTCATTAAATAAACCAATAATTAACTTACTTTTAGCTTAAACTAAAATAAACAAATTATGAAAACTTTCTAAATGGGTCAGAGCTTGAAAAAATAATGATATCCTGTTCTCTTTTATTTATTAGATTTTACTTCAACAGATACAGTAAAAGTACATATTTTTATTATGTCAATAACTATAAACTTGCGTCTTTCTTCCTACGACTTGACACTTGATGGTGTTTCGATTCTGATGAAGTTCGTTGCCTTGAAGGAAAAACGTAGAATTTTATTGATACTATTACAAATAAAATATGCAGTTTTATTCTATAAAACATCGTAAAATATGTAATTTTCCATTTAGCTTAAAACACACGTCTTTCTTTATTCGGTTTCCTTGTACATTTTGTTAAAACCATGGTTTGTGCAATTTAATTGTTAATTTAAATTACTTTTATAATTTCATTTACAACTTAAATTCAACAAGAATCGTTTACATGTTATGTAACGGAGAAAAAGCCAAAATTCGTCAAAAAAGAGTAAATAGCTGCTAATTTTGAAGCCATACCTCAAATAAACCGCCAATGCAACCGTATTACATTTCTAATATTTAAAAGCGCCTATAAGTTTTAAGAACGGAGTTTTATTTTTCGGAATTTGTAATTGTATCATAGATCTATAGGATACAGTAAACAATGCAGATGATGATATTCGTTTCTTAAAGAGTACAATGTATTACCGAGTAACCATCAGTGTTCCAGTTTCCGGAGTTCATAACTAAATACTGAGTGAGAATGGAATTCTCCAAAATGGCGGAACAAGAAACAGGGGTACAGCAAGACACAATATGAAGTCGTACTTAGCGGAATTCACGTGACGGTAGAAAGTTGTAAATCATGGTAAAAAAGTCCTTTGAAATTTTTTTAAAAGCAATTATCTAAGATTTTCCAACCAAAATAAAGAAAAATTAATTATATCAAATTAGTGCAAAGTTAGTCCTTTTCCATTAATACGCAAGTACCGATGAGTTTTCGTATGAAAGCAACACTCAAGAGTTATGCACAATTCTAAACCATAAGTATTTATACAATGAAGATTAATGTAATGTTAGTTTGTCTCCATTTATATAGCAATATCAACTATGTAGTTATGCATCCAGCTAACCAACTAGCTGATTGACTCAAGGAAAGTGTATATCTTAAGTACCTACTCAATACGTAAAAGGAGGGAAACACCAAAATTCTGATGCCTCACCAGTGGCTGAGCGGTTAAAACCGCTGAATGCTGCTAGTTCACCTAGGGTTTCAAACAACTCAACGAAGGCATCCCTTCTCTTAGGAAGATAGCCCTTGTAAACTTTTCCATAATCAAATAACCTAAGTGGAATTCTGAAGCGTCACCAACTGTCAGCTGGTGAACTATATTTACTGATTGTACCAACCTGGGAAGTTCTGGCACCTTCCGCCATTCACGCAGCCTGGCATATAAGCATGCAGTTACAAAGACAGAGCACAAACCTATGCTCTTTACTTTAATAGGCAGTCGGGTACATAAGCTCAGTCCGTATCTCTATGCCTCTAAAATTATATGCACCGTATTTACAACAAATGCATTATCGAAAACTATTCGAGGAACGGGAAAAATGGTTTGCGGCCTGTTGGCTGCCTTTTTGAGAAACTTGCCATACAAAATAATCTCAACGGAGTGTAATCATGAATATTACTCCTAATTTATTTCTAATTTCAGTAATTTTTCAGCTTAATATATTCAGAGGTGTTTAGTTTAATTTGCTACCCTAGAGCCTCTAGTAGAAGAAAAAAAGTAAACAGTCCACTGATATTAATTGTAATATCATAACTTCAATACATAACTTACCAGTTTGGTGATCATACTCTCCTATGTATCTCTTTGTCAGAAAACGGACAGTGAGAGCTGTAAAAGAGAAAGAAAGATTTTCAAATGCTATTTTAACTTTCTCTGCTCGATATAATGAAACACATTAGTTTATGAGTAAAGTAATCGAGGTGAGGAAGAATTCCGTTTAAAGAACAGTACCTCTTAAATATTAGAAACTCTTTTTTTAACGAATTAAACACTACCAATAAATAACACCACAGCAGAGTTTAACTACATGTCAAAGGCATATGCTTCCATTTTTGTTCCCAACTCGTTAAAAGATGAATCTTACGATGAAATTAGCTGCCTGTTACATACATAATACACTCATGCCCATAAATTAAGGATAATTCGGAGTCACGCGGAAATCGAACTCTAAAATAAATATATCACCTGTAAAATCACTACACATATCTTCAAGAATCATATGCAATAGGAAGTAACCAGGTGACACCGATGGTATGTCACAATGACCAAAGTGTAAGAGAGTGATATATAAGGAATACAGGCAAAGAAGTAAAATTGTTCGCAGGCGCTTTATAAGCATTTCAGTGCAATAACCGAATAGTTATGACACAAAGGACGCATTTGGATTATTTTTTACGTGGTAGAATTATCGGCCGTCTGGAATGTGGGCATACCCAACTGGAAGTATCAGATGAACTTGGAATTGCCCAGAGTTTCATCTCCAGGCTTTGGCAACGATTCCAAGATGATGATAATGTGAGTAAACGTCACAGCACAGGTCGCCCCAGAGTTACAACGCCGAATGAGGACCGGTATTTGGCAGTTACTGCCAAAAGAAACAGGCGGAGCACAGCCTCAGACCTGTCTCGTCAACTCTCTTCAGCCACTGGTATGACAATTTCAAGGCAGACCGTGTGCAGATGCTTAGGGCAGATTGGTCTATATGCTCGTAGACCTGTCAGATGCGTTCCACTTATTGCAACTCACTGTCGCCTGCGGTTAGCCTGGAGTAGAGAGCATGCATTGTGGACACCGCAACAGTGGGCTAGTGTGATGTTTTACGTCGAGTCCAAGTTTAGCTTGCAGTCTGATTCTCGCCGGACTTTCATATGGAGAGCTCCAGGTACCCGTTACCACCAAGAAAACATCATTGAACGACACCGTTACGGTGGTGCAGGGGTGCTCGTTTGGGGTGGAATTATTCTGGGTTCCAGAACTGACCTGCATGTTCAAATTGGAACCATGACAAGCCAAATCTATCGGGATGTCATTCTGGAACAACATGTATGTTTGTTTCGGGGCACCATGGGCGCACAATTTGTCTTTATGGATGACAACGCCCGTCCTCACCATGCAAACATCGTAAGCGAATGCCTTCAATCGGAGGATATCACCCGTATGGACTGGCCAGCATTCTCACCGGACTTGAATCCAGTAGAGCACGTGTGGGACATGCATGGCTGACGAGTTGCAGCCCGTGAACTTCCTCCTTCTACCGGAACTTCGGAGAGCATTGCTTTTTGAGTGGTGTAATACCCCCCAAGATCAGATCGATAATTTGATGCTCACCATGCCTAGGCGTTGTACGGACTGTATTGCATCGTCTGGTAGACATACAATGTATTAACAATCATAGCAACCATGTAATATTGGTTTTTTGTAAATAGGCCTTTTTCTGTAATCTGCTCCAGGGAGAAAGAATCGCTAATTTTTTTAATAATATTAAACATATAGCCTCTTGTTTTGCTCTTTACCTTTTGTTTAATAAATAAGCTTTACAAATAAGTCAAATTTGTTTTGCTTCTAATTCTTCCTTTGCCTGATTTTGCATTATCCTTAATTTATGGACATGACTGTATTTAAATTTCTTGTTTTATTCACGAATTTTACTCCGTTATTCAAAATAATATCTTACTTTTAATATGTGTAGAGAATGTTTAATTTTTAGTTGTTTATACTTCAGTATCGCATTTGAATGGCTAAATGTTTTAATATGAAAAGCGGTAATGAAATGGCATAGTTTATTTATTTCAGCTTTTATCTTTCTCCGTGTCAGTTCCTTTAAATGACCAATTGTTTAAATGATACGGGAATAGAAAAGGAACGATATTTGAGTCGAAGGGAATCGAAAGTTGTTACATGGATATGCACTTAAATATTGTAATATCCATTCCAAACAACCTTTGGCAAATTACATTTCTGAAATGGTTCCCGTTGTGCAAGATTTCAAGATAATGGCAAGACATCTTATCACGATTTAGTACATGTTCAGTCTAAGGAACTCTTTGACAGCCACTTGTCATAAGAGCTAAAAACCTTTCGGGTTTAATTCTGTTTATATCCAATAAACACGTGTTTGACATGATCAATGGCTCATGGTTCAATGGCATGGATGGTGTGTGATCAATGGCTGTTATTTATACGCAGTTAAAAAGAATTGTTGTTGTTGTTGATAATTATGCTCACTTGTCTGACGAAGTCAGCACAAGGCCCACAAAATTCCTCGCGGCAAGGAGCGCAAGATACACCTGCTGTTGGCTACCGCCTTGAGTATCATACACGTGACAGTGCAATTTCGCTGAGTGCCGCCCCCCCCAATTTTGATGGAAAGCACCCCTGGGGAAAGGGTCCGAAGGTCTTCCAAACCTCTCCCCTTCCATCAAACCACACGAGAGGACTTTCGGCTCGCCGCATACTTAGAGTGCCGCCATGCCGCACCGACGCTATACATTTACAAACATCCATGCCTTCTTTGAGATTCGAGCCCAGGAACTTCGGCATGGCAGTCAGCGACGCTAATAACTATATCGGTTGGGCGTCGTTAAAACAATTAGACAGATGGAGAGTGTTATAAGATAAAATTAAATGGTACCGAAGGAAACATTTTGAAAATAAGAGAAATCACAATGTAATTTCTTTTTCTTTAAAATAAAGCATGTTTAAAAACCCCCTTTTGCACAAATTGAGCGACATGACGCATATCTTAAGTCTCATTTATTTTCCTAGTATATTATATTTAAATGCATTATAAAAAATCCTAGAAAAGAATTCACAATGAATTTCTGAACAAAAATAAAATACACGACTTAGTGTCTTTGATTTAATAAATTTTTTTTTCTTCAGTGGGTTTCAAGCAGACTTAATTAAAACACCGGCAGTCGATGTATTTTAATGAACGCTTTGCTTTCAATTTATTTATTAGAACTACGTGCCATCTACAAAATATAAGCAAAAACTAAAAGAAAGGGAAAACTTTTTCTCACACGTTCGTTTTAAATTAATGTTCAACAGCAAATTTTAGAGTAATTACGTTCCCAGGGTAAAAAAAGGAATAAAGTTCCTGAAGTGCAAATTATATTTTCAAAAGAATCCTTTATGCATTTTGTAATAACGAACATTCTTCAAATTTTAATTAAATCCGAAGAAAGGTTTGCTAAACACATTTAAAATAAATGAGTTTTTTTCCGGCAAATCAAAGGACGACAAATTTTATCAATAAATTGATTTCCCGTTAGTACTGAGGGAATATAACAATTTAATTTCCAAAGTAACTTTTCTGGCTTCAGAAAAAATATATATTATTTAATAGAAAATGTGAAATTAAATGAAGTAAAGGGAGAAGGCAATGTTTTAGCCTTGATACTAATAACTTAAACTATTTTCATTTTCATTCTTTTGCCTTTTTTTTTAACCAAGGGAACATTATTGCTTGAAATAGAACACATCTGAAATTAAAATTTTCGCTTTACGTTAACATAAAAATAGTTCTATCACTAAAGTAGCTCACGTGTTTATGTCTAGTGTGTAGGGATTAATATTGTCCGCAAAATATCGTTCAATGAACTACTATTTTTTTTCCTCGAAGAATTCTGATCTGCACGTGGTTAATCTTTTTTATGAAGAATTTCAAGTCATTAATTGCTTTTTCGATAATTAACTGCTAGTATGCAAAAAGAATGAGACTTTTGTAATTTTATTTTTAATATTTTAAAGAATATTTATTAAAAAAGGTACTAATAAAACTTAGTTTGAGGAAAAAGAAACATTTGTTTGGATGGGAAGGAAATATAATCTGTCAGTCGACGCCATTTAGAGAATGATTTACATCGCAGTAAATGGTGTCTATAGTAGCTCTCGATAAACAGTTCTTTTTTACACCCGAAACACTAATTTTACTTGTGAGAACAAACTGTAGAGCCATTTAGGTTGTAAGGTATTTCTCCCGTCTTCTTAGCGTGCCTTCGTGGTGTGGTGATCTGCACGCTGGGCGCGTATTCCAAAAGTTCGCGGTTCGACTCCCGTCGAAGGCGTTGCTAATTTTTCAATCCCTCTTGCTTCTAAAAAAAATCCTGATGACTCTGCAAGGTATTAATCGGAGCAGGAAATATGAAAAATCAGCAACACCCTGGCCCGGATTCGAAATCTAGACCTTCCGCTTACTAGCTGGGCGTGCTTTTCAATTAGACCACAAAGGCATGTAGTGAAGAAAGATAAAATACCTTACATTCTCCTTTACTTAAAGGGTGTCTAAGGAAGGATCAGCCCCAGTCACCAAACCCAGGTATAAACGAACTGTCGATCACTATATTTTAGTTTGGACGCTACTTGTGATTCTCGATTGCTAGCCAGACGTGCTTTTCAATAACACCACTAACGCAGTGAGGAAGAAGAAAATTCCTCACAAAGTTAATCAAATGGCAGTATATGTAATAATATCTCTTATAATCATGATTACTGTTCTTAGCTCCTGTCATATGACATGATGGGGAAGCAAAACATCATTGCTAAATGCTTTATTAAAGTGAAATAGCATAAATAAAGCAAACAGTAAAGGTTTCTTGGAAAATGAAAACACTCTGTTGTTATTATTTTTTCTGTATAATTTATTTTTAAGTCATTCAACGCCTAAGTTAACGGACGCAAATGCGAGTGACTATAAAGCAAGATATTTCCTTACAATGAAAGTCCACATGATGTGAGATTATTTCTGTTTCTAGCGAAAGGAAACAAAAGTGACAGAAACTGTTATGTTCCTAGGAAGCAGTTGAGAATCTACATGAGATTTTT